TATTTATGTTTAAATTATTTTTGTTTATGTATATGTGACGTTTAAGTAAAAAAAGTGCTAACAGTAGTAGAAATCAGTTTTAGTCAGACATACCAAATTCTTATGAATTTGATGCCAAGTAGTAAAGGAAAGTTACAGTCAGACATTTTAATTTCTTTTTGGTATCAGTGAATTCTTTAAACTTGATATCAGTAGTGCCAGTCAGTTTTGAGTCAGACGAAACGTTTTAAATTCATATAATTTTTTTATAAGTAATAAGTACAGTTTTAGTAATACAAAAATTATTATAACTATTCGGAATTTATTGTCAGTAGTAACGACCAATTTTAGTCAGACTCCAATTTTTTTTTATTCATATAAAAAATAGTATCAGTAGTGAAAGTCAGTTTCCGTCAGACATATTTTTAGAAATTCTATTATCAGTAGTGAAGGTAAATTTTAGTCAGACTGTACTCTCTGTCGTTATTTTAATAATAATTTTCCACTATCGAAAAATACTATATTTTTTCCTAAAAAGCTCGATAATTATAACATTGATTTATCATCATTAATTACTAAATGCATTATTATCAATTTTCACAATATATTTTTTTATAAATTATAACTCATTGTTACAATTTAATAACAATATGTATGAAAAACAAATTACGTTTATTATTTCAAAAAAATATTTCAAAATTCAATATTTAATTAATACGAACAAAAGATATTTCACCAATAAATATTGTATTTACTCGTTTTTAAATATATATTTGTAAACATTTTAGATACCGTTTTTTTTTAATATATCTGCTATCATCTGATGAAAATTTGCAGCAAATATAATATAATGCCAATCATTAGATAACTCGAGTCACTAAAAACGATGATTACTTTAAATAAAGGAAGATTGAATAGAAAGAAACTTTCTCGATTAATCAAAATGTCTGGCGATTCCTTTCTATTCTTTTGTCGTGAGCGATCAAATAACAAGACTAACTTTAATCTACGGTGACATGCTCGACGAAAATGAACAAAAGATTCAAATTAAACTACTACTCTTCTTCATACTGAAAAAGCATTATATAATAAGTAGGTCTTTAAAATCCTTTTCATCTTTTATCGAAAACAATGATAATTAGACTTTAATCGGTGGCAAAATATCATTTTTCATGTGAAAAATAAAAAAAAACGATTAATATTATTATTATAATTCAAAAAATTAGTGTTCAATAATTTCTCATTTATCAATATATTAATAATTTTTTATTTCTGATAATAATTTCTCATGAAAATAAGTTCAAAAATAAGAGATATTATTAATTGATATAACAATTTATTAATAATTATAAAAAACAAAAGTTTAAAAATAAACTGTAATCGACAAATTGTATTTGTACACGTAAACAAATTATTTTCAAAAATGCAATCAAATTAATTATTTAATTTAAGAATTTTTTTTTTTAAATCAAATAATTAAAATTTAAAAATTAAAAATCCATTTAAACCAAATAAATATTGTTAAAAATAAAATTAAATTCAACATAATTGATGAATGAGAAATTTATTGAAATAGATGTATAGATAAAATTGAATTCAATATTTCAATTGAATTACAAGAAATTATTTTTAAATAAAAATGGAAAATTCATTATAAAATTTAATAACAAATGTCAAAAGTCAAACAAATTGATGTTAAAATAAAAAATAGAAATTCAATAAAATACAAAATTCCAATATTAAATTACCAACAAGATTAAAAATAAATAAATGAGAGATATTGATTTTAATAAAATTAAAAAGAAGTGTTGAATAAAACTAGAAAATTGTTGGCAGAGGATTAGAGGATTTTTTTCACAAAAAAAAACAAAAAGAAAAGAACAAAAACCAAAAATGGATATAGAAAAAGAAGATAAATAGAATAATCACTCGACGCAAATCGTTGCAAAAGAAAAATTTACTTTGCAAACATGTTTTACACTTTTAGTATATTTCTATTTTTCAAAGTAAAAGCAGGTAATAAAAATTAATGTAATTTTTAACTTTCAACAGCCACGCCAATATGCATGAAAAAGAATTTTTCTATTTTCTCATAATTTTGCAGAAAATATTCCTCGATACTAATTTCAACGTATAAAATTCAATATATTCTACTTTTTGCATTGGATAAAGAAAAAAAATATATAAACAAAAGGCAAACAAAAATATTTTACAAAGGTAATACAAATTTTTTTTTTTTTTAAATATACAATAGTAAAAGGAACAATGTAAAAAAATAAATAATTTAAAAAAAAATGAACAGAAAAAAAATTTTCAAGTATTACAAAATATCATATATAGTGTAGACAATGCGCGATATAAAAAACACAATTTTAAACAAATATGTGCATACGAATTACTCGTTCGAAATATGACATTTATGCAAATTTTTCCATTAAATCGCAAACAAAAATGTTTGAAAGAAAATGGAAGTGCAGTGTAAATAAAACGTTAGTTGATGAAAGTGAAACGTTGACGATTTTTCTATATATGAAAAAAAAGAGAGAGAGAGAGAGAACAAAAAGAATCATGAAACGGGTTTAATAAAATGGAATTGTGTCGGAATTGTACTGAAAATGAGACTTCATGTATACCATAATCTAGGTTGAATCTCGATTAAAAAAAGAAAAAAAAAAAGTCAACGACCTATACATTCTGGAGAAAATTCCTAGTATAGCTCTGTAAATTGCTGTTTTAAAATTGACATTACACAAGCAAACGCCAACTAATCCACAGAGGCACACTAAAATTTCACAAAAATTTCTCATCTCCACACATATATATATATATATATATATATATATATATATATATATATATACAAGAGAGAGATTCCCATCTCTCGACTTTATTTGCATTTGCAAAGTGCTCGCACCACTAAGCCAACTTTCTTCTAGACTATATAATGATTTCCACTAACATAAAAATTAAACACTATTTACTCGACAAAGAAACGAGAACTATAATTTTGCCAACATAATGAATTTTATAATAATAATTTTTCTTTACAAAAGAATCCTTTGTATCAAAAGAATATTAAAACTTTCAAAAGTCTCATTTATTTCAATCTTTTCGTTCGAGAGATTTCCATTATAATTGTATACTAAACGTTTTCAAGCATTTTATTACATTTTAATAAATATTCCAAATAAACAATTTTATAAGCTACATTACGATAAAAAAAAATAAATTTAAATTCAAAACCTAAAAACTAAAAAATAATTTTAAATAATTGTTGCGAAAATTTTAAACATTGCTTTTTAAGTCATAAAATATAATTTAAAAATTTAATAATTAAAATTAAAAAATATAAACCCGAATATAGATATAATTAGTGAAGTTTATTTTCATCTTTTTTCGTTTAGATATATATATATATATATATGATAAATTATTATTCCACACGGATGATTCTCTCGAAAATGATGTGCCAATTAGTTGCTTATTCCTGGGTTGTAATTTATCACGGAATGCAGTTTATGAAGTTCAATTGTAAAGGATTAAATTGAAAAATATGAATTCATGTATCACTGTCACTTAACTTTTGAAAATTACCTCGACAATTGTTATAATTATTTATAAAATTTCAAAAATATTTTCTAACACAAAGATTGAAATAAATCAATAATTTAAAAAAAAGTTATTAATTAAAAATTAGAATTACAAATTTCAATTTGTAAAATAATATATAAATTACAATATAATAATAATATTATATAAATAATAAAATAATATTAAAAAATAATATTGAAAAAATTTTTTTAAACTTATTTATAACCAATTTTATAAAAAAAAAAAAAATAAATACAATTTCCGTCCATAATTAATAAATTAATCGCATTTTTTTTTTTTTTTTGAAAATTCAATTAAATAAATTGAAATACTTTTGTAATTTGTGAAAAATATATAAAAATTTCTTTTTCATCGCGGGGGCTTTCGGGTGAAATATCGCAAGCCGAGAGTACAAAAATCTAAACGTCCTAATGAAATCTTCCGTTGTAATCACGTTCAGCGTCGAGTGATTTGCAAAAAGGCATTAAAGGAAGAATACAGAAAGAAAGAAAAAGAACGAGATTACTTCGAGAAAATGAGAATATTACGGTAAAAATTTTCTTTATAGGTTTAAAAAGCAAAATATCTTTAGAATCTCAAAAAAAAAGGAAAAAACAAATTTTCCTTAAACTCAAAAGAAAAAATTAATTTTAATCCAAAATTCTCACATTTCACACTCAATAAGTATTTTCCACCGCAAAAAACTTCTAATTAATAATTTTTCTACATTAATTTTTTCTTTCCTATTAATCCTATCCTATTATTATTATTACTATTATTATTATTATTATTATTATTATTATTATTATTATTATTATTATTATTATAATTATTATTATTATTATTATTATTAGGTTTCAAAAATTATTTTGTCCAAGTAAATATTTAATTGATAATAGTCAAGTAACCGATTATTGGAACCAAATAAATTTTTTTTTTTCACTATAACAGTACAAGAAAATTTGATAAATAAATTAAAAATTATATATTTTTACTTTTTTTCCTCTTCCTTTTTATGCCAATCAGATAATTTTGTTATCCAATTATTATTTTTTTATTACCGTGGGGCAAAATAAATTATTTCTAAACATTAATAATGCATTCTATTTGAAAGAAAATATAAATCTTGGATCACAATAACTTGATGTGTATTTAAAAAAAAAAAAAAAAAAAAAGAAAAAAAAGCAATACTATTCAGTTAGCTATCGAAAGAAAAGTATGAAAGCTATGTTAAAAGGAAGTAAAATATTCAGAAAAGAAAAACGGACCCGTTTGATCGATAAACGTTATAAATGTAAAAGTAGGTCGTTTCAATTCCTAATGGTAAAGTAAAGGAGAATAAACTCCTCTTGCAAAATGGAAAGAGTGCATCAAGTCCATCTTGAAAGATCCTCGACTTTTAAATTTTAAATAACTTGAAAAGAACGTACCGCCCAGGCGTAATTCCGCAATTCCCTGCGCCATCTCATGTTCATTTCTCACAAAACACTGGTACATTCCACGGTCTTCGCGTGCAACTGACGTCACGGAAATTCGTTCCCGTGAAACTATTCTTATGCGGGCACCAGTTCGCAGTGGTTGACCATCCTTCAGCCAATAAAATGCAGCTTGAGGAAATCCACTCGCGCTACATGTCTGAAACAGAAGCACATCCTTTCAGCTTATCTCGAGAATATAATTATTCTCTTCAATTGCTTCTAATTTATAGAGAGCAAAAAGAAATCAATTCATTATTTTCTATTTCAAAATTACTTCATGAAATTAAAATTTATTTATTCCCTATTAATAAAATTAACAACATATTTATAAATAAAGATTATTTTTTTCTAAAAAATATTATTATAAAAAATTGTACTACTCCAATTATAATTAAATCGTACCAATAGTAAAATAACATAATTAGAATATTGTCAAAATGAAAATTACTTCTTTTTCTCACAGGAATCTCACAAACGATGCAACAAAGTAGGAAAAAAGAGTGAGCAAAGGAAGTTTAAGAAAGACGTTATTCAAAAAGGTAATTCAGGAAGAGACCCTTAGGAGTACTTTAATTTTTTCCAGCATTACAACTGTTCCGCACAGAAAAAGAATCTCTTTTAAAACCAATGCAATTAATAGCTTCAAAGGTTCCATTTTTTTTTTTAAGTCTTTTTACAAAATTAGTTACATTAGCAAACCTTTTCTTGTTACTAAATTATAGAAAATGGAAACGATTGTTCTATAAAAAAAATTTTTTCTTCAATCATATTAGAACAAAAATTTATCATTACATTTTGATAAAGGTAATCATATTTCAAGGAAATTTCTTAAAACACAACTTTTTTTTAAGTCCCCTGACAAAAGCTGCATCTGAAAATGGATTTTTCACGACATCGTAAAAAGTTCTTTTTTTTGTTTCTTAAAAAAGAACTTCTTCAAGCTTAAATTTTATATAGAAGTGTTGTCAAAACTGTGAAAGTTTTTACAACTGATATATATATATATATATATATATATATATATATATATATATATATATATATATAAAGGGGAAATAAAAATAAAAACTTACCAAGAAAGCAGGTTTACCAAGATCTACAGTTTGAATGGCAGGTTGAACGTGAACACTTAAGGGTGCAGATACTGTTAACTTTACTTCCATCGATCCACTACCTTCCGAATTACTGGCAGTGCACATGTAGGAACCAGCGTCTAATTCTTGGACGTTTTGTATAATTAATGAACCATCACGAACTAAAAAATGTCCCGACGATTCGTCAATTGGTTCATCTCTTTGATTTCGATTATAATACCACCTGAAAAACATAAAAAAAAATTCGATTTAGAAAAAAAAAAATTACTTTTGAGTAATATTTTTTTGATCAATTTTTCTTTTCGTAGAATAAATATTTACGTATTAAATAAAAAAAATATTTTTGTTAAATAAACATAAATAAACCCAATCAAAAATTTCAGTATTATACCAGAGTTAACTACTGGCGCAGTACTGGTTCAGTATTGGCTGCCAAGGTATTTTTGATTGGGATGTAATGTCATCCAATATTAATATATATCAACTTAAAATTTTAATTAATAACAGAAATATGTGCTCTAAATTAATTTTTTTTTTCAAACTTTTACGGAATTTTATTTTTTATAAAAATACTTCCTCAAACATTAATTTACAAAAAGTATTTATTTATATATTCCTACGAATTTTTTCTATTTTTTTTTTTTTTTTAATATAGCAATGGAAACGCTATTTCATTTTAGCAGCTGTTTAAATATTTGAATTGAACGTATATGTGTATTTATTCTGGTTGATAACATATACTGTAAACTCAATTTCTGTTAATGAAATATTAATTTAATTCGTTAAATAATTATTTAAAGAAAACTATTATTAAATACTATTCGTTTTTTAATCAAGTAAATTTTATTTATAATTATTTTTTTTATTTAATTTATTTATTAAATTTCGAAATATTTTCCATATATAAATTTTATTTTATTAAATAAAAGTAGCGGGGAAAAATGGTGTTTTTTTTTTTTAAAGGGTTATTAAAAACTTTACCTTGCGTAAAGTATTTTCTTACTTTTGTATAAAATACAAAGAAATGTTCTACCATATGCACTTTTTTATTAACGAAATTATACGCACATATAAAACTCTTTACTGGCCAAGGTGTTAGGAGTATAAAATATTCTATTTTTCCATCAAAATGTGAGGACATTTTTTTTTTTTTTTTTTTATTTTTTTTATGTTGTTGTGGAAAAAACGAGATATGGTAGAACGGCATTAATTGCTAAGACTGAAAAGAATTTCACTCAAAATAGCGCGGGAAAAGCCCCGCGGTAAAGGAAAATGTAGCGAACCTCGAGAGCTTCGTCAAACATAACGTGACCCAGCCGGAAAACTGGAAGCTTAGCGACTACTTTTACTTACTTAAAAAAAAAAAAAAAAAAAAAAAAAAATATTGTCGCTGATGGTGTTTATTAAATCACTGTCTAAAAATACCATAAAAAAAACAATTTGGATTTAAACATTTAGAAAAACGAAAATGTTTCGTTATTTCTCAATTTTTCTCAATTCTATGAAATATAAAAAATATCAAAGTAAATGTTGATTTTCACTCAGACATATGTCTTTTTTTGTAAATCCCAATCATAAAACACGCAAATAAAAAAGAGAAAAAAAAGACAAGAATAACAAAAAATGAAAATATAATCTATAAAAGCAGAAGGAATATTTGAATAGATTATAAAACCTGGAGGGCGTAACAGATGGTCGATTTCCCATATAAGCTGATTGAGCTTTCGCTAAGTTTCCCAAGCAATAGCTTGAAAATCCCGTTTTTTTCAAGTTTTCTTTTTTTTAATATTACTATTATTATTATTATTATTATAAAAAATAAAGTACAAAAACATCAAGTTTTTGCATTTTTCTCATTCTATCCATTATATAATATTTATATATTTATGCAATAAGGGAAAAAAAAATGTTTCAATAAAAAGAATTTTTCCGATATTCGACGAAAAAAAGCTGTTTTTTTTTTTGAAAAAATAATAATAGAAAAAAAAGAAGTGTGATTCCAAATTGATGAAGAAAATAATAAAAATAAGATTCATTAAAAATTTCCACCTAATGCATTTTTCATTAAACTTTTTAACTTTTTAAGAAACGATTTGAAAACTTATATACTTTTTTTTTCTCAACATCTTGAAGCAACGAGTAACTCTCCTTAATCACATCAACAACATTTTCTTCATTCAACGAACGTACCTATAAATCTTTCCTCCTACGTTTTCTACTTCTCACACACATATATACACAAAAAAAAAGTTCATTTCCCCAAACTACAAATCCCCTAACTTTTCGAAAATCAAGGAACCTCGTTTTCCCGCAATTCATTAAACCTTCCATCCCACATTCTTCCCTTATATTCTCTTCCTAAAGCAACTCTCTTTGGCAGTAGCTTTCAAATCCCAGGACACAACCAACGTTCCTAGGACAAAACTTTTCTATAGGTCAGACGAAAGAAGAGATGTGGTTGAGATCAACACACACACACAGAGAGGTGGAATAAATAATTTTGACTCAAAACCAGATGCAACTCAATTTGTCGTATGGCATCGCGTGGAAAAGAGATGAGAAGGAAGATAGAGAGAGGAGGAGTTTGTTATGGAAAGGAAGAAGAGAGGGAGAGAAAGGATAGAATGAAAGGTGGGGGAAAGTGGAAAAGGAAGATAGCAGAGAGATGTACGTGAAAGCGTATATATATGTATATATATATATATATGTATATATAGAGAGATCTGTATAGGTAGAGCAAACAAACCGACCGCTGATTACAGAGACTGCTTCTGACAGCCCATCAAATATTCCGCGTTTACGTGTACGTCGACGTCACTAGGTATTCCGTGCTTGTGTTCACCACCTATCCCACGTACCTACCTAGTTTCTCTACCCTTCATCCCACCTTCACCCTCAGACCATACTCCACAAGTTGACTCACCAAGGAGTCTGAGGGTTTACCGCCAGAACCAGTTCCATCTCGAACTTCTCTCTCACTACCGACACATTCCCTATATCCCATTTATCTCTCTCTCTCTCTCTCTCTCTCTCTCTCTCTCTCTCTCTCTTACTCTCTTCAATCTGTCTCTATATACATATTGTTCTTTTGTCGTTATGTCTATGTCATTCTTTTCTTCCTTCCCATGTACCAAAAGCATGTCATATTTCATTAACAATTGTATGAATTGTTTCTTTGAAATGTTGAAAATATATTTGCGATAAATGAATGAAACGTAGAAAATTTGTTCTTACTAAACATATATTCTTTGGTCGCTACAATAAATCTGTATTGTTGCATTCATTGAAAAAAAAAATTGATTCAAATAATCGATTACTTATTGCACTGAGAGAAAAAAAAAAGTTGCTTGCTATTACCATTTTTCAAATAACCATTTTTAGTTAGTACGTTACTTCAAGTAAATATTTATTTGGTTCAAGTAAAAAATTTATTTAATAATAGTAAAGTAACCGATTATTTGAATCAAATAAAAATTTTTTTTTCAGTGCACAAACAATATATTTGTGACTATAACAAAATTTTAGTTGTTACAAGTTTACAACAAAATTTTTTATTATTTATACCAATGATTATATTGGTAATATTACTAAGGAATTTGTTATTACAACAATACAGATATGTTGCAGCGACTAAACAAAATTTTTTAACTCCAAATTACAACAGTTAGTAAAACAATTTATTTTATCTGTACTGTATATTTTAGCGAAACATTTACAAGAATCAGTGAGGTTTTTTTTTATTTTATATATACAAGTAAAAACGGTAAATATTCGCGGAAAATTTTGAAAAATATTATAGGAAACTTATTTTTTTCTACACTAAAATAAACTTCAATATCATAAAAATATTATCAAATGTAGAAAGTCTGACTTAATATTTAGTTTTACTAATGTTGTTAATTTTTTATGATAATGTCTGACTAAACCCGAGTTTTAGTACTGAGAAAAATTATTAAAATATTTAAAAAGTCTTACTAAAGATTTCGTACTAAACACTGAAGAATTTGTACTACTGTTTTTTTACATTACACGTGTACTAGATTTTGTCTGACTATAACTAATTTATACTACTGATAAAATTACCTAAAAAATTGTACCATTGACAAAATTACAAACTTTTAGAATGTCTGACTAAATATTTAATTGTACTACTGATAGAATCATAAAAATTGATAAAGTCTGACATAAAATTTATTTTTACTACTGATTTTCAAATTTAATCATTATGTCAGACTAAAATCGTTTTGATCTACTAATAAAAGTACGAAAATTTTTAAAAGTTTTACGAAACATTTATTTGTACTACTGTTTGACTTTATTAGCTTTACTTTATTTCCTTTACTACTACATTTCTTATTAAATAAATTATAAAAATTTGAAAAGTCTGACTAAATGTTTACTTGTACTACTGATAGAATCATAAAAAATTAAAAAAAGTCTGAGTAAATATTTACTTGTACTACTGAGAGAATCATATAAATTGAAAAAGTCTAACTAAATATTTACATGTACTACTGATAGAATCATAAAAATTGATAAAGTCTGACATAAAATTTATTTTTACTACTGACTTTCCAATTTAATCATTATGTCCGACTAAAATCGTTTTGATCTACTATTAAAAGTACGAAAATTTTTAAAAGTCTGACCAAACATTTATTTGTACTACTGTTTGACTTTATTAGTTTTACTTTATTTTCTTTACTACTACATTTCTTATTAAATAAATTATAAAAATTTGAACAACCTGACTAAATATTTACTTGTACTACTGATAGAATCATAAAATTTTTTAAAAAAAGTCTGACTAAATGTTTACTTGTACTACTGAGAGAATCATATAAATTGAAAAAGTCCAACTAAATATTTACTTGTACTACTGATAGAATCATAAAAATTGAAAAAGTCTGACATAAAATTTATTTTTACTACTGACTTTCAAATTTAATCATTATGTCAGACTAAAATCGTTTTGATCTACTAATAAAAGTACGAAAATTTTTAAAAGTCTGACCAAACATTTATTTGTACTACTGTTTGACTTTATTAGCTTTACTTTATTTACTTTACTACTACATTTCTTACTAAATAAATTATAAAAATTTGAAAAGTCTGACTAAATATTTACTTGTACTACTGATAGAATCATAAATTTTTTTAAAAAAGTCTGACTAAATGTTAACTTGTACTACTGATAGAATCATAAAAATTGAAAAAGTCTGACTAAATATTTACTTGTACTACTGATAGAATTTAAAAATTGAAAAAAACTGACTTAAAATTTGTTTTTACCACTGATTTTCCAATTTCATCATTGTGTCTGACTAAAATCGATTGAATTTACTAATATAAGTACGAAAAAATAATTTCTTAATAAATTATTACTTCCACTATTGAAAAAATTACTAAATTTTAAGAAGTATGACCAAACATTTACTTGTACTACTGTTTTCTACATTACACAATATAAAGTCCTACTAAACCCGATTTATACTAATAAAATTACAAAAAAAATAAGAAGGTTCGATGAAATATTTATCTTTACTACTTATACCAATAAAATTGCTAAAATTACAGAAGTCTGACTAAAAATTTACTTGTACTACTGATAAAATCATTTTAAAGAAATGAAAAAGCCTGACTAAATATTTACCTTTACTACTGATAAAATTATAAAAAATTTAGAGATTTTCTACTAATTTTCCCAATTTTACATATACTCAAACTATCTATTTTCCTTCTCAACATTATCCCTCTCTCTCTCTCTCTTTTTGTCTATTTTCCTTCCTCTCATCATGCTTGCTTCCCTCCTCCCATACTCTAGCCTTATCTTCGACTTCACCAATTTCCCTCCGTAAATTCGATTATCTATAGATATATACATATATACGTACAAGCGGTCTATCCTTCTCTCTCTCTCTCTCTCTCTCTCTCTCTCTCTCTCTCTCTCTCTCTCTCTCTCTTTTCTCTCCTCTGTTAAAGCAGAGTAAGCAAGATCGAAAGGATGCGCTCCACGGGTTGCCAAACTATCTAAGGTCAATTGACTTGCGGCGAAACCACCGACCGATGTAACATCAGCATTCTGGAATTCACTCAGAGTGAACGAGACACTGATTCGGGCTTTGCGAGGATAAAAGATTTGTTGCGATACGAAATGTCCTGTTTGCACAGGAGGAGCTAGTTTTGTCGGTGAATTAGAATTACTCGAATTCTTGTATTTGTGTATCTATGTGTGTATGTGTATGTCAAGAGAGACTTTGGACTTTGTCAATTGAAACAGGAAAGGAAAACATTTGCCCGATTTCGAATTGATGGAACTCTGTTTGATGGTCGATATGGTCTTGCATTTAAATTTCGAGATTCATTTAAGAGAAGATAACTACATTCCTTCTTGATAAGAAACTATATATATATATTTTTTTATAAGAAAAAACTTGAAATTTTTTATTACTAACAATTTCTTTTTCAAAATTTTTTAAAACCTATTTTATATTTAAATAAAAAATATATATTTATTTTTCATTATTTAATATTATTAAATTCCAAAAAAATATATGTATATTTTTATAACAAAATACGATTTCCCCATGTCAGTTGCCTTATTTTATTTATAGAAATATATATATATATATACTGATTATAAAATATCCGATATGAAAATATATATATATGGCTAATAATAATGAACTGACAACAACATTTCCGGAAATATGTATAAATTTCAGTGAAGCATTTTTCTTTTTTTTTTTCTCTAATGAAATATGAAGATAGAGAAATAGAGATAAATATCATTCGGGTTGAAAATACAGACGTCCGGAACTAGCAAGTCGATGTACCCAACTGGGGAGCTGTTTTCACGTTCCCAGAGAATATCAAAGTGCATGATCCTCGAGGTGGATTCTATGTTTAAAATTAGCATTAATATGGAAAATAGAGAAACGAATGTCCCTCACAGCAAAGAACGAGTTACCTTTACTTCTCACATTATCTAATACAAACGCAATGCGCGCACAAGTACTTTCATTATTTTTCATATTGAGAAAAAATATATATTATATATTAAATTCATCTATTTAGAACAATTGCGGATTAACTCGACAAAAAAATACATAATAAAAATTCACAATATGGTAATTAATTTTGTTTCCATTTTGAATAACACATACATATATTAAAACATAATTAGGGATTGAAAATTGTAATTCAAAAAGGAATGAAAAAAATCTAATAATATATAATATAACTAATAAAATTCCCCTTAGGGGAATTAAAAATCCCAGAATCTAGTGGAAAAAAAGTATGAAACATAAATATTTTTATAAATTGGAAATATAATTATTAAAATTCATCTAAAAAGTAGAAAAAAATCGATTTGACTTAATTTAACAATTAGCATAAATCTAATTATTTTATACCAAGAACTTTAAAAATATCAATGCATATTTTATAGATTCATTAATAAAAATCTTACGTAAAGAGAAAAGGAGAGTTGAATAACATCTTACGAAACCTTTTATAGAAACTCGGTTAATACTTATCAAATAAAACCTTATGTAATATGCATAATAATATTTAAATTAAAAGTTCTTGAAATAAAAATAAAAATGTCCTTACTTCAATCACAAAAAAAAAGATTTTAACGGTAATTAAAAAATTATTTAATAACTATTATTAAATTAAAAAAAATTTATTTGATTCAAATAATTGGCTACTTTATTTATCAAATAAAATTCATTTAATTATTATTTGAGTCAATTAAATGGTATTTGTTTCAAATACAGACATTTTTGTAAATAAAATAATAAAATTTATTTAATTCAAATAAAAATTGTTTGATTCAAGTAAATATTTATTTATTTATTTAATAATACTAATTAATTAATTTAATTATTTTTTTAATTTTAAATTAAATTTTTTTGAAGTAACTCTTGTTATTTCAATTTTTCAAGATGAATAGATATAATTTTCTCCATAATTGAAATTCAATATAAAAGAAATAGAAAATATTAATTAAAATATAAAAAAAGAATTTAATTATTACTTACCGATTTGTAGGCCGAGGATTAGCATAGGCAACACATGGAATTACAATAGTCTCTTCTACTCTCGCTGATATATACACTAACTTATCACTTAACATTGGTGGCATTGCTCCACGAGCTTCTGAAACAGAAATTATTACCAAACTTTGTAAAAATTTATTCAGTTTAAAAAAATCCTGAAAATATTTAATCACAAATATATAGTATCCTTAAAAAAAAACTATTCTTTACGAATATAATTTTCTCTTCTATTTAAAAATAATTAATAAATACAATTTAACATTATACTGATAAAAATTATAAAAACAATTTTTTTTTAATACGATTTCTTTGATTTAAATCGTATTTTTTTAATCAATTCAGATTTCTTCTTCTAACGTAATAATTTATATAAATCATTCTTTATAAAAAAATTAATAAAAAAATAAAAAGAAACGACTATGAAATACAAGTAAAAATCGCATAAAACTAAATATTTATTATTCGAAATGAAAATCATGAAAATTATATTACAGTGAACCATGTGAGTGAATGTATTTTATTACATTTCATCAATAACAAGAGTAGTAACGTTCCGGATATAATCAGACCAGCAGCAGTAGTAGTAGAAGGCGAGTTGCTGAAAGGATTTCTATTCGTAACAGTAGTAATAATGCGCGAATAGTCGGACAATGTTAACGGTCACGCGGCAAAGTGGCTGATGACCCAAAGCCACAACTATATTTCTCCTAACGACTCTATAAATTCATTATAACTTTTGTTATAACAATGATATTACTTACGTTATTGACAGACACAATGGCAACAATATATGATATAGTAATGAAACCATCGTAACTTAAAAACTTTAACCATAAAAATTTCCCAAAAAAAAAAAAAAATTAAAAAAAACTTCATATCACAGTTTAAAATGAAAATGATCGCGTGGTTTTAAACTTTTTATATGCGCCTTCGAAACTTTCATATCAATTAAAAGTGAAATTTTACTTTAATCTGTTTTCATAGCCGCAAAAAGCTTATCTTGACGGTAGTTAAACTATTTAATTAAAATAGAAAGATTTTAATTAAATTAATATAGAAAATTTATTGACAAATAAAAAAGGAAAAATTTCAAATGAAGAAAATTTATTTTCATGAAAATTTTAATAATTATTGAATGATTGTATTAATAATAATTAATTATTAAATTATTATTGATAATTAATTATTTATCAAGAGTGAAAAAAATCAATAATTTTAAGAATATCTTTTTGGCGTCTATTTAAGAATATCCCCCCCCCCAACTCTTAATATACAAAATGTTTCTTATTTTCTTACTATAATTTTTTCAGTGCAGTGATGCCAAGCGTATTTAGAGGTTAAAAATAGAGTTTTTTTTTTTTTAAGGCCAGGTCCAAGTCGTGTCACATTGAAACTTCAAAGGAACAGCTGACTCAACTTGCACCTGGCCTTAATGTGAATTGCAATGAAAAAACATTTATTATTTAATTTAAATTAAATAAAAATTGTTTTCAATTTTCGCGAAAACCAAATTAATTATAGGCTTTTTTTTACGCAGAACATTATTTTTTTTTTTTAAGAAAAAGTAAATTTTTTTTAATTCCAAATTTACTTTACTGAAGCCAAGAGAATTTTTTAAATCTACCAAATTAATAAAAAACTATAGTATAAAATAATGTCTGTAATCAAACCAAAAAAAAAGCAATCAACAATGATAAACATTCTACACAATATATATATATTGTATATATTTCTTTTATATTTCTAGGCACGAATTCGTTTCCTAATGTCCGTAATTACAACAGACTGCCAGAGTATTTTTCAAAGAAAAAAAAAAAAACTTTTTTCTTTTAGAACGAAAAGTATAAGAAGATGTTTCTGATATAAAAGTGAAGTTTTCTGAGTTTCACACACACACTTAGATACTGACAAAGCCACCCAGTGTTCGTGTTATAAATTGGGCCCTGTAATTGCCGAGGAGCAGATAAATATCTCTCACATCCCACCACATCTCGAGAACAGTATATATCAAATACACACAAACACACACAAGAGAGAGAGAGAAAATTCGCGTATAGAGTAAAAATACCAGAGCACTCAACTGTTGGAAGTTAGACATCAATTTGGGGTACTGGATTTCTTCCCACACGTAGATAGGTGTAGGGTTTCACGTTCTTTTTTCTCGCAATCCCCTCACTCCTTTCCCTCTTCGCTGCCTCTTAACCATCTATTTTTCTCCTTCGTTCCTCTTCTATCTCACTCCCACTGACCTACACTGCAACTTCTTTTTTTTTTTTTTTTTTTTTTTCTTTTTCTTTTTTTTTTCTTCTTATATAGAAGACTCTGCGGCCACCCTCAAGAAAATGGTATAAGTTTGTTCATGATATACGGAAAATGTTTTCCATGGCGCGCGTCATAAATAGCCAGCGGCAAGGGGTGAAACATGAAAAGAAAAGAATGAAAGAGGGAGGCCCCTGGTATATAAACATACACGCATCAGGCTCATTTAATGCGAAATTATGGGTTGAGATAGCGCGAGTCTTGTATCATATCTCGGGACATTATATGTTGGAACATAGAGGAAACTTCGGGACAAATTGCGGCAGGACAGAATTTTTTTTTTTTTTTTTCAAAACCTTCTTGTATATGATACGAACATAAAAAAAAGATCATCTGCGGCTCAATCTATATTCTAAATTTAATCCTTCTTAAGAATATGAATTTACAGTTAAAATATAATATTCTGCAAATAAGAATAAAAAAAATTTATTTCTTTAAAATAATCGATTACTTGAATATTATTATCATTTATTTGTATTAAATAATTATTATTTGAGATGATATTTGTTTTAAATACAAAAATTGTTGATTCAAATACAATTTATTTAATTCAAATACAATTTATTTGGTTCAAGTAAACATTTATTTGATTAATAGTCAAGTAAGAGATTATTTGAATCGTATAAAAATTTTGTTCAGTGTACTATTCCCCAAACAATAATAATAATAATAATAATAATAATAATAATAATAATAATAATAATAATAATAATTTCTGAAATTAAAAAATTCTTACTAAACATTTACTTGTACTACTGTTATAACATTATGTCTGACTAAAACTAATTTATACTACTGATAAGATTACAAAAGTGTAAAAATTTAGGTTGTCTGATTAAATATCAATTTGTACTACTGTTTTCAACATTACATGACACACAAAATAAAAAAAATATTTGTTTCACATAATCAGTTACTTAACTGTTATTAAATAAATATTTATTTAAACCAAATAATTTTTATTTGATTTATATAAATTTTATTTTAATCAACTCTCTAAATCTGAATTAGTAAAAATGTTTACTAATTTAAATTACTGACACACTTTTTACTGTAGAATTAGTTAAATTTTACTAATTGTTAGTAAAAGTTACTAATAATTAGTAAAATTTTACTAATTGAGAAGCAAAAAGTGAGTCACTAATTCAAATTAGTTAAAATTTTTACTAATTCAGATTTAGAGAGAATAATTTCTTTATTTAAAATAAATAACTTTTATTGCCTCAAATAATAAATTATTTAATACAAATAAATATTTAAACTAATTTCAATTAGTATACATTTCAACTAATTTTAATTATTAAACATTTCAACTAATTTCAATTATTAAACATTTCAACTAATTTCAATTATTAAACATTTCAACTAATTTCAATTAGTAAACATTTTAACTAATTTTAATTAGTAATTTATTTTTACTTTTGAACTAATTAAATTCTCTTAATTCGATAGTAAAAAAAATTTCTATTACTATAATATACTAATTAGTTAAATTTTACTGATTTAAAAGCAAAAAGTGAGCAACTAATTCAAATTAGTTAAAACTTTTTACTAACTTAAATTTAGAGAATAAGATGGATTTTGAGTTCAACTAAATAATTTAAATAATTTTTAAAATAATTTATAAATAATTTTTTATCAATTCTAAATCAGAAAGTCCTTTTATGAATTAATTCAACTAAATAATTTAATTTCAATTTATTATTATAGTAGTTTTTTTTTAAATAATTAGAAAATTATAAATTAATATTCTTGTGTTATATATTATTTTCCCTTATATGGAGACATCGTAAAAACCATAAACTAAACTTTTGGGGGACAAATTGCCATGGCATGGACATTTTTCCACAAAAGTTCCTATCGTTGACAAAATTGTTATTGGTACAAAGCTGTGCAAATGGCTTCCACACCAAGTGCACAGATGGCAATATTGAGACGTTGGCACACGTAGCGATAACCGCTTCGCGCACACTGCTTATATATATATATATATACATGGGGACCAAATATGATGAAGCCATTCTTTTTCAAGGGGGTAAGGTAATAGTGGTTCGCTAGCACATTGCTCGAATACTTGCGATCTAACTTCTTTTCTTTTTTTTCCCCCCCTTTTTTTTGCAATAACCACATACAGAGTGTACTTCCTCTTTGACATTCCATTATCTACAAGACTTAAAGAGATTGCTGTTGCGACAAAAGTTTGTGTCTCATCTCAAACTTTCCTTTAGATACTTTCCACAAAATATAGAGAGTAAATTTTTTTTTCCCCAAAAAAAAAAAAAAATTAAGATACGATGAATACCGAGAATTCTTTACCAACTTCTATACAAGGACGTTACTTTCAAAAAATCTTCGTGAAAATTAAGAATTTTCTTTTTTAAAAAAATTCTATGACAGAACGAATGAATTAACATTCATTTCTGATGAAATATTCCATCAAAGAGAAAATTGACTTTTGAAGAACAGGGAGGAGGAAATGCAACCAGCAGAAATTTTTTATTCGAACCAGAATTTATTTTTTTGTCTGACACAAATATAATTTTTATTTGAATCAAACAAAATAAATTTATACCAAACAAAATAAATTTAAATGAAATAAATTTGTATACCAAATAAAATAAATTTTGGAAACAAATTCCAAACTTCTTACTGAAAACAAAAATTATTTTTGAAAATTAAAAATTAATATTGAAATATTTATATAAAAAAATGTTATAATGACATTATAATTGTAAAAAAGTTTTGTCCAGACAGAAAATGAAGGGAGTGGATTTTCATGGA